CGTATAACACAGTGTATACTCTGCTGTGGTGTTCCACATCTGGACACATCCGAATCACGAGAGGAGAGCAACTATATGTACTGACTGTGCTCCTCGCCTCAAAGCTGCTTTACTCCTTGTTCGGATGTATCCGGATCTGGAATACTACAACAGACTATACACTGTGTCATAAATTCGTTTCAAAATAGTACACACAGTAATGTACTGTTTTAATGAATAACATGTTATATTAAGTATACATATATACTTATGTGTATTTGATTGCGAGAGGTTTTCTAAGAAGGAAGGCGATAGTGCCTTCAGAGGTCTTGGTTAGGGCCCGCGTCCCTAGTTTTGGCCTGGACTAGGGACACCCAACGAGAAGCCGAAGGTTGTCTAGGACCGGTGGGAGAGGACGATTGGGAAAACCTTTGAAACTTATGTTGTCAGCGTTCTAGTGCCTGGGCGATGAGGGCCCGGGTTAGAAACTTGGCAACATATAGTTGTGGAGGCATGGTTTGATGGAGGCCTCTACCCTGAGTCTGTCGGCTAATCGGACTGGTTCCATTTTCATCAGTATTTGGAGTGTGAATGGATCTATAGCCTTCTGATTCGGCGAAGCGACGGGGACGTCGCTTAATATGGTCCGGTAAGCTGTCGGCGCGAATACCCTTACAAGGGTATCCGCCCTGGTTCGTGCAAGTGACAGAAAAATAAGCTTAAGTTTAGAAGTTTGAGTATGCTGCGCGAGGCGTAGCGATGTCTGAGGGCTATGTTGACTAAACAGTTGACCAGTGTAGAGGGCATGCGAGCGCGCAAATTTTTAGGCGCGCGTTCTGATTGAGTAGGCGGCCGGTGTAGCCGGCTGACCCGGACCATGTTACGGGTTTGGTTGAGGGATAAGGTTCGTTTTTTTTTCGGTTGGCACGCTCGACCGATGGTAGGACTGGCGTGCGGGATGGCCACGACGTGGGTTGGTAGGCCGACGCGGACACTTAGGGGCCGTGGGTACACATGTGGGCTGAAAGAATGGCCAGGGGGGGGGTATCTTGGCCATGAGCACTGCGCAGTACCACCTTATATGGGTTGCCGCGCTTGCTGGTATCAGGCTTGGGCTTAGCCCTATTGGTTACGACATTGAATTCGGGAGACGGAGGGTGCAAGGATCGAGGCCAGCGGACGATGGTGCAGGAAAGATGGAGTGGCGAGACGCGGAGGGGTTGACCGTCCCGCGGGACTATCCCCCTTTCGTTCTTTTGTTGGGAGAGCCCGGTCGCGGACCTGGTCCGCAGGGTTAGGGCGAGCGCTGGAGCGTCCCGCGGCGCATGCTCACGCGGTTGCCCCCCCCCCCTTATATTTGTCTGTGGGCCGGGACTAATCTTATTCTATTATTTGTGTTCGCATTCGTGCGGAGCCCGGGCCGTTGACCCAAGAGCCCCGACTAGTGATTATGCCCGTCAAAAAGGGGGGGTTGCACCTACCATGGATT